TTATGGGGAAAAAATGAGAAAAAAACCCCAAAACCATCAATGTCTACCTTTTACCCTTGACTGCACGCAGACACCGTCATATGATCGTCCAAAAAAGAAATTAGCAAAAAAAAAATCCCTACCTACCTACCCTATTTTCAAATGCCATGTAATCGGAAGCAGAACTATTTGTTTGTCTTATCTCTTCATTTGTTGTATTTTTTTTAAAACTGAATCCGTATTTTTACAATTGTCAGAGAAGAGAAAGCTTGTACTAAAGTAAAGTTTCCGGGTTTCCCGCAATATGTATAGATGCATGAGGTACTGGATAATACGAAGCTTCGTTTTATAGTCCGCCGGAGCTCGTGTTAACAGTGCTCGAATGTATAGGCAATTAAATGCGAGAACACTAATCCGAGAAACCTGACCTTGGCCCCCTAATTGAGTGTTAAATGTATTACATGTATTTTGTATTTTTCTGTGTTCAAAGTTATTCAGAATATACAAATGTAATATCATATTTTGGTAATTACATTTTCCAATGGGGGACACTTTCGAAGTGAAATATACCAACTGCATGGTATGTCCAATTTGCGTAATCCGGATTTCCGACCGTGACTTTTCCAATTAGAGACAGTTGAATTATTTTGATAACAGTAAGGACAGAGATCAACTTTATTGGGGATTTTCCAACAACAAAAAGTGGTGCAGGAAGATTATTAGATATACTTCGTAAAAAAGCACGGCACAGTGTCAAAAAAAAAAAAATCCCCAAAAAAGAGAAATGTGCGTAATCGGGGGATTGCCCATCTACACACATTAACCTTCCCAAATCCTCCAAAATCCTCTTTGCTCAGGGGGACGATATCGAAGGAATGTGAGGGCCTTTGGAGGATAATGGAGGGTCTAGCTGCAGGTTAGCGGGCCTAATTGATGCTGGATGAAATTGGAGAATTGGGGCTCTTGCTGGATTTGCCCCGCCCCCTAAAAATGTTCCTGGAGGGTTCAGCATGTTGTTGTTGTTGTTTTTTATGCCTAGGTACTTAACCAGGCATTCAGCACATACATGTACATTTTACCACTACTTATTGTACAGCCTCAATTTACTCCAATTTGTTAGGGCTTTCGCATTGTCAATCCAAAATACAGGAAAACAATGGAAGATTGCAGTTAATTGCACTGCCTAATGAACCCATAAGAGCATTGGAGTCCAGTGTGTGATAACATGCCAGGACAACACACTGGAGGATTACAAAGGATCCAGGAATTCGAAGAGGCCTGCAGACACAAAACAGTGAATGTTATACATTGAAGGATTCATGTGCTTGAAGTGTTTACCTCTTTCCCATTGGAGGATATTGAAGGAATCGGGCTACTTCTTGACAAGAGCTTATGGGCAATTCCACGGTTACTCACGTTACATTTTTGATGTACTTTTGAGTTTCCTTGGGCTGTAATTACCTTACTAAAAAGGTTTAATAACTGTTGTCCCCATGGTAGATAGAGTAGACCTAGACCTACCTAAGCTCCAAAGATGACATCCAGAAAAAATGTGTTGTGTATGATAAACGGGACGCACACAATCGGTTACTCACGTTACGAAAATGTAACGTGGGCAACCGATTTTGTGCGTCTTGTTTATCATACATAACACATTTTTCTGGATGTCATCTTTGGTGCTTAGGTAGGTCTAGGTCTACTCTATCTACCATGGGGATAACGGTTATTAAAACTTTTTTCAGTAACGTAATTACAGCCCAAGGAAACTCAAAAGCACATCAAAAATGTAACGTGAGTAACCGTGGAATTGCCCTTATGTTATTGGGAAGTTTGGGTTGTGTTTCAACATGTTCAAAGCATTGTCCGTGTATTGAAAATACGTGTATATGGACGATACCTCGTCCCTACCTGCATCTGTTGCACCCCTGTATCGGCCGCACCCGTCGACCACGCCCAGCTCAAGATTTAGCAAAGATTCGTCCTCAGATATTTAAAAAATAGACCATTCGGGCAGTGGACAAAATGTATGTATATGGAGAGGGAACATATACATAATTACATTCTCGCCCATCTTGAATAACAGGACCTCTTAAGATATAAGGTTCCAGGTATCATTCGTTGATTTTTGGCGGCATGGCACAATTTCGGCCTGTTTTGTTTCAGATGACTTACGTGTAGTGATATACACCTAGCTTGGAGACATTGGTTCGTTTTGCTTTGTGTTATTTGTCGTTTACACACGCGTCATTTTATTGCAAAGATAACATAATTATATGCTGATTTTGGAGGGGTTGTTTCCTCACGAGTTGGCAAGCACTGATGTTAGAAATCGATCCGGTAACAGAAAAAGCAGCTGCCATTCAGTCGAAAATGACACAATTGGAAAGAGTTGCATTGGGCATTACATTCACGATCAGGTCACCAAAAAATCCATATCGAATTTATGACGGACACATGTCAATTCCTTTTCATTTCTACATGCTTCGTAGATGACCTCATGATCTTCATTAAATCTTTCCTTAAAATCGTACAGCCAGGCCGTTATTTATGTCTATGTTTAGATGTTCCATTTTCACAATAAAAAAACGATTATTTTATTGAATTCCATTTCCCCATACACAAATTGCCAGGCAATATTATTACAACATAACCTCTAACTAACATAATTACATTCGATTGCAAAAGGATGGAAATAGCGAACACAATAATGAGGGGGAAAACACTATTATACACTACGATGATACAAAAAAAGCGGAATTAAAAATATCAACAACGAAAGAAACGAAAAATAACTCTTGAATCTTAAGAAGAAACGCCAAACCAATATTAAACTTCGGTTATTTACACGTGGTAAGAACCTAGGTTCCTCACTCTTGCAAAGTTGGATTCTGATTACTGTGGTATATTCCTGACTCCATGTATAATCAGTTAAGTAGTGCAGTGCTCACTCCAACATAATCAAACAAAACATGCAGTTGGATTTTGAGTGGTATAGTGGGATTAGGGTTAAGCCTTTGTTGTTTGGATATTTGTATTAGACCATTAGGCCCACTGCAGCCTTATTGGAGAATGTTTAATGTTGTTATTTCAACATCTTAACAATGAATCGTTAAAGTGTTTATACATGTACTTCCGTGTCAATCTCTCAAAGATGGCTGCCGTGCTAAGGGTACTATCTGTCAACGTACATGTACGTGTATACTGCATTGTGATGCGTGTTTGTGCACTACCACCTAATAATAGAGAGCCAGCCTCACTATTTTAATAGCAAACTCAATGACCTCGGCATTGTGAATACCGCAGTGACGTCACGACCTGCCTCTTTTGAACCTGGCTAATGGACCGTGCGAAACTGACGTTTATTGAGATCGATGAATATCAAACGACTGCTTAATGTTATTGGAAAATATCAATAACAATATATGTTACTGTTTTGCTCCGTTTGTGTTTTGTGTATAGACAGTTGTATAACCTCTGATTGTCTTTGCTTACGAAAAGGTTTTATTTTGATTTAACGTTTAATTAAGGTGTCGGGATCGTTGTCATATGTTTTGAGAAATCACAGTACTTATCGATGTCAAACGTTTTGAGAAATCACAGTACTTCTATTGTAATTTCCATTTATGTTCTGGTACTTTTGTGGAAGTTATGCTGGCAAGTAAAAACAGTATAAACGAATACACATGCACTCAGATTCTGGCGAATCGTGGAGGTGAATATCGCTCAGTTAGCCCTCCTGCTCAAAACAAGGGGAAATGAATAAATCCACTCTCTGAATGTAAAAAAGTTTAAACCACTCACAATTGTCCCCAACATTGCCCTATAACACACAGTGGAAGTTGATTCCTTTCTTTTATAGGCACAGACTTGTTTTTACCTCAAACAGCAACTCTTTTACATTCAGTTAGTAAAATATTCATGGAGGTTAATTATTGTTTCTGTTAAGTATTGACGTTTCTGTTGTTGCCAAAAAAAAATAATAAACTCGACCCCTTTTTGTATCGGCACCAATTTGGAAACTAGGGCGCGTATAAGAAACAACGTCTAGGATGTGCAGTTCGTTTTCACCCGAAGTACATTATGGACTCGAACCCTGACGGGGAGCCTGGTGCTTGTCTTCTTGGGCAAGACTCTTTACTCCAGTTGCCTCTCCGCCTCCTCCCCCCCCCCCCAACCCCAAATGGGCTCATGTGAGGGTAGACACCAGTTTGCCGTGATCTCGAACTGTTGTAAAAAAAAACTGGTCTCCTATCCTGATGATAAAACATGTAATTGTGAAATTGGTTGAGACGTCGGTATGAAGCGCTACGTATATAATAGACCATGTGATCTGTGACGTCATGCCGACACGCAACCACCGGGTAAACCAAACATTCAATCATATTTTGCATGTTATTTGGCCTTTAGTTTTTGTCAACGCTTTTAAACCATTCCTATTTCAACAGATACGCATTCAGAGCAAAAGAGAACTATTTGCTGAAAATTAACATCACGTGACCACAACATCCCGTTTTGTAAACAAATTGTCACATGGTTTATAGTACCACAGTATTCGCATTTGCATGATCATGTTCATTCACAAAAAAGTCACATGGTTTAGGCCACACACAAAAAAGTACTCGGTCTCTGGTCAGCGCGCGCGTCGATTTTAACCATGCGCGTCAACCTTTTTTCCCTTCAAATTGACACGGAAGCTACAACAGCGCCCTCTATTGCCGCACCTCCTCAAATTGTTGTACCAAGCAATGGGGAAATTGCACCAAGGCAAATGATAAAGGGCACCAAGGCAAAGTATGGAGGACACCAATGTATAATGAGGACACAAACAAAGCAAAATAGTACCCATGCACCTTGTCTGTACAATTCAAGCTTGAAAAAAAAAAAAAAAGCCAGCAAAAAAAAAAAAAAATCGTCGCCGCATCAATTCCGGAACTGCTGTCTGACCAGAGACCGATTTTTTTTTTCGCCTTATAGTACCACATTATACTCATTTGTATGATCATGTTTATTTTGTATTGTAGATTTTAAACCAAGCAACTCCGTCTTCACCACCACCATCATGTGTTGCGCGTGCGGGTCCACACGGTGCCGGTTCCGATGCCTGCGGTGCAGCGGCTCGCTGCTGATCGTCATCGGCGTCCTGTACGCGGCGGCCGGCATCGTATTCAACTTCTTCCACTTTCTCATGATCTTCACAACGGGGCACGCCCTCATATGGGGCGGATCAGCGGTGAGTACATGTAGTTTGATGTCCCCATTACTGACCGGTATATAGTATTCTGTGGCTGGCTGCTACACGTTGATTGACCAATGCGCCTTGAAGCTAGTAGTCCGCCATCTTGAATCCCTAAAATGGCATGACAGGACGTAGGCCTATATGAACATGTTTCTTACTTTTTTTCACGCAAAAAATTACACTTTTTTCAGAGGCAGATTTCTAAAAACAAAATCACTTTTTCAGAGCCAGATTTCTCAAAATTCAAGAGACATGTTGAAATTGATTGAAGATACTTCTAAACTACGAGATCTTGGTCGTATATTATGGTAAAAACGGCGTTGAAAATACATGTAACGCTTATTTTAATAAGTAGGAACACACAATACAAAATTAATTGTTCTTTTCAAACAGGTTTATTCTAAACAATGATAAGTTTTGGCAAGGATACTCGAGTAGAGATGAGCCGGCCAGCGTAAAATTACAGGAATACGTGTTTATGCTTAAATTTCATTGCCGTTTTCACTATACGTTGCAAAAAAATGCAACCCAAATGTCGGGACCATTGTTTTAGTGAAGTTCTGCATGTAGCACTTTCAAAATCTAGGATTGAAAGACCAATTCATAAGGTTTCTTTTAGTACAAGAATCATTCAATTCATTCATGTACTTTTTTAAGTTACGGAATTTTATAACACAACCACCGTCTTAAAGTTCTGTCCACGGATCACAAGAAGTTAAGTGTTCTTTCAGCAAAACGAAAACAAATCACACGAGGAAGTATGAATTGTTTTCGTTTTGCTGAAAGAACGCACACCCTATTTGTGATCCGTGGACAAAACTTGAAAACGGTGGTTGAGTTTAAAAATCGCTTTTTTATTCACCCTGTTGTGATGGATATTTTGAATTAGTTTTAACACGTCTCCCCAATTCCAAGAAATTTCGTCTGAAAATGTGTAAACGGAAGAAATTCGATACCGCCCCTCCCCCACCAAAAGAAATCACGCGTTTCACGTGCGCAGTGGGTTACCCAAGATGGCATGAGTTGCTTCAATGCTCGGAGATGTCGTTACTGAAGGGTGCAGATCTGTAAATAGGCCAAGAATTGCCTTTGCGGTCCAAATCACAGTCTGTTTGCTCTCAAATTCTCAGGTATTAGATCATTTTGAGGGCCATGAATTTGAGAATTTGTAAAAAAAAAAAAAGGGAAAAAAGGGGAGGAAGCCGTGCAGAAGACTGCAAGTTCGTATTTCTGTGAAATGTGGATTACGATTAGGCCCTAAAATGGCGCTGTTTTGCAATGGAGCGTAGGCGTCCATTTCGAAAATGGCGATGGGCTTCAGGACTGCTCTTAGGTGTGATTATCTTTGAATTTTCTCCCAAAAGTTATGACTTAACCCCAAAACATGAACAGAATATGACAGATGATGACATAAGCTTTAATTTGAAAGGTGTCTCTGAAGAGTTGTGAGTGTTTCTAATAAGTTTTGGAAGTACGTGTAATTACCATTGGGGTATATGGGAGTTCATTTGTAGGTAGAGAAATCAGTGGTCCCCATCGCCTCTATAGTAGCCACATTACCTACATTACAGTTTGGCCCCATCATTCTAAGGTTGTATACAGTGTTTATGTATTTCGGTCAGGATAAGGGAATCTCATACTCTCTTAACCCCACTTTTTTTAGTGGGCCGTGATGGGGTTGAGAAGACGTGTAAACAATGTAGCCACCCTGCATCAAATCAGGGGTTCCAATCACTTAGTTACAATGACAGATTTACTTCATCCTGAATTCTTGCAGATCTTTATGGCCGGGGTAGCATCCATATTTATTACGAAGAAGATGAGTGACGATGATTGGGTGAGTACACGTCTCTTGTCCTTATTCCAAGAGGGAAGATGGCACTTCTAAACAGAAAACCTATGAAAATATACCATAAATGCCAATCGGTAAGTCCAAGAAAAGGTCCCCTCTTTGTCTTATACGTAACACCATGTTTTCGTTAACCCTAACAGAACTCAACCCATCAAACGTACTCCAACGGCATATTTTTTTTGTTATCTATCAGGATGGGTACAGTGCCCCTAAACTGACAGTCTTTTACATTGGGTTGGCACACCTCCAGAATCAAAGTCAAAAATACGTTTGCAGTTTTTCCCATGGTGTTGGAATTTGCCAGGATGGGTATGGTTCCTGGTAAATCATGCAAGGGAGTTAGGGTTTAATAATAGCATAATCACTGCAAACATCATAATTGCAAATAACATAAAGAATTGTTGGAATAAAATAAAACAAAAACCACTGAAATCAATGAATTTTCTCAGAGGATTAAACTTTCGTTACGTATGAGACATAGCGTGTGCGAATCATTGGACTTGCCCTAATCTACGATTGGTTCTCTCTGTGTAATGATCATGATCTTTGGGGTAAATTTTCCATTAACAAGCTGATCTCTGAACCTGCAGGCCAATGAATTCGTGTCATTCGAGTGACCTCGATAATGCAACTCTCCCCTCCCACAGAAAGCCAGGTTTTTTTTTTCAGGAATGCAGTGAATTGGTAGGCGGTCAGTGGAGACCCATCAAAGTAACACAAAAGAGGGCCAGGACCTGAGGGACGAGTTGATATACATGTATATGAATAGCCATGCAAGGCTGTCACTGGAACGTTGTTACTAACTAACTTACTAACTAACTAAACTAGAGACACGACGATTTATTGAGCGGCTGCCCACACCTCACAAGAAGACCAACCCGCTGAAAACTGAACAACCAAAGGAACCATTTTCAAAAAGGTTGCAGTCCATTTTACTTCTGGCTTGTGATTTGATGTACTCAAAATTCCTTCGGCTAAAATCTGAGAAAACTAACACAACCCGGGACCAGTGCAGTGTTTAAATGCAAATTCAGGTTTTAAAACCAGTGTGGGTGTGATTGCAAACTCCAGTGCCAATTCAGTGAAAAATAGATGGAACAAGTTCTGCATGCCTGTCAAGCATTTTGTGTTGCATTTTTTTTTTCATGAGGAGGCTTGCTACTGAACATTTAACATTTAGTTGGAAGAAAACCATTAAAAAGCTCTAATAACTTTTAGAAAATGATGAATGTCAATGTAGGGAAAGAATGTAGAATCCATACGCCACGAGTTTGATATATTTTTTTTTTTACAATATTGGACATGCGTTTTAAATGTTGTTGTAATGACGGACCTTCATTGAGAAAATATATGATGAAGTGACACCGGGATGCAACATTCTTCCCCTATGTAGCATTCCCTCTTGATACCGGCAGAGCAAAACACTTCCATGTTTTTGTTGGGATAATAATCGGCTTAATAAATATTAGGAGGGATATATCTAACAAATGAAATTAACCGTTTCCGTTTCGACTTTTCACAGAGTTCTCGCGGAGCGGCCTTCATGTGCATCCTGGCCATAGCATCGGCCCTGGGCAACGTGGCCCTCCACACCTACAACTTGTACGAGAACCAGTACTTCGAGGAGTACGACATGGAGACCTTTGCGGACCAGAACCTGACCTACGACGTGACCTTTGAACTCTGGCTGGGGGTCATCATTGCGGACGCGGGCATCGACTTCCTGGCCCTGCTGACGACGCTGGCTGGGCTGGCGGCGTTTGGCATCGGCTGCTGCTGTTCGGAATACTCGGAGGTAAGAGGGTGTACATGTAATGTGATGTGTTTTTTTCCGGGGCATAGAGGGCGCCAAAGAAGAGCAATCAGGAACTGCGTACGCTCCAATCTTTTTCTCAGAGAGCGCAATTTTTATCAGAGGGCGCAGTTTCATCAGAGGGCGCCCTTCATTTGTTTGTAAGGATTGTGCGCCATTTTGTCAAACCAAGGTGATTCAGATGCATGCATTTCAACAATGGTTGGCAAGAACCAAATCGCGATTTAAATGCCCTGGCTTCCTGTATTTCAGAAATTTCGAATCATTTTAGATATCGTCTCTTTAGCTGAATAATTGTACACCGCATCGATAAGCTTGGCTGTTTTTATTGTATACCTCAATACGGGCATTTGCCAAATAGGCTAATGACTGCTAGGAGATCGCCTCTGACGTTTAGCCAACAGGTTTAAAAGTTGATCAGAATATCATGTAAAGAGTGAATTTCAATCCTTTACACCATCCATACAATTATATCGTGAATGCCCATCCATATCTATAGACGACCTAAGGCACGTGGTCACCGTTCACTCACAGGGCCCCCTTCAATGGAGAAACCATTATTCACTCTGTTGTATAAAGCAACTGCCCCATGAGGGATATTCGAACAATAACTAGCGCGATGCCTTCACCATTGACGGGGGCCCACTGAAAGCACTAAAGGGCGCCCTCTCTGTGTGAATAATACCTTAATCAATTTCTAATTCCACTTAACTCTCTTTTTTAATTTCTTTCTTTTTACAGATCGTGGAAGACTATAAAGGAAGGATATAAATTGAACGACTGTTGGAGCAAATAATTGGAATTGTATAATAACTGTTACTTCATTTAAACCACCTATTTTTAATTGCCGAAATACATTGTCTGGACAACTCAGAATTGTAGGCATGCCTTAACAGGAAAAAAATGCCTACTTTATGAATATATCCATAAATTAGATTGAAAAAAAAAAACCAGTTCGGACGAGATTCCGTATCAGAGTTTTGCACTAGTTGCCGCATCACCAATTTATTACCATCAAACCCGATTTCAGCTACATGTGTATGATACTTATTATAGTTTGTATTACAATTATTAAAGACAAAAACCCAAACCCTATTTTCAGTGTTGTGTTGGTTGATTAACTTGACTTAGTGAGTATTGTTTTTTTAATTTACATTATATATGAATATTAAAACGGTAAGTGGATTTTTAAACACTGATTGTCAGTACGAAACTTAGTGTAGTAATTTGTTTTTTTAATGTATAGTGTAGAATTTGTGAAACATTTAATTTTCCATTCCAAAACTCTGTACAATGTAGCCGGTAAAAAAAATATTTTGCAAGCAATCAAAATGTACATATGTTTTTTTTTCCGAGAATTGTTTATTTTCACTAATATGCCTTGTTTGTACTTATGTATTGTCGGAGCAATTTCTTGGGAACAATTTTTTTTTTAGCTGTGCATTGTCAGAAATGGTAAGGACAATTTAAAGGCTGCTTGCTTTAAAGCATGGAGGTGGTGTATTTTTGGAACAAATTCCGCTTCCCGCCATATTTGGACATTATACATTTGTATATTTTCTGTTAACGTAAGAATTTAAGTGGTTATAATGGTAATTACACAGAACTTGATATAGGCAAAATTAATGAAATAAAATGTTAAATCGCTAACGTAATGATAACAAAAATCTTAGTTTACGAGGTCCAAATTTGTACCATGTGTTGGAGTATACTTTACGATGACTAGTATTTCAAAACAGTACTCGAAAACAACTAAAATGACTCCAGGAACAAAAGTACATGTACATATAAAGAAGAATCCCGATAAATGTACAGTTTACATGAAAATTAATCTTATTCAATTATTCTGTGAATCCTCACGAATTTTCCAATGTACGTGAACAGGGTGAGCCAGAATTATCTGGACCCAAATTAAAGAAAATATTTAACGTGTAGCAATCATCAAAACAAGTACAAAAGAAATATGTCATAGGCTGGTATTTTGGACATATTTGGCGACAGTTTCACGTATATTCATTGTACCATTTTGAAGGAAAGGCTAGCAAAGAATGCAAATTAAAAAAATACTCTGAACACGGTTCCATGCATGGTTTTACAAACGCATTGAAATCGCGTACTGGAGTGGAGCAGTCTAACATCAAGTCAAGTTGACTGACTCAATTGAATGTATTGACGCATTCAAACAAGACAAAACCAATTCCCTGTGCAGACTGAAAAATTAGCTAATTCGATGAAAATGCTTTAACTCCTAAAACAATTCAAAATTCTTGTGGAAGAGAAGGTCATGACCATTCACATGAAACACCCAATTTTGTTCTTAATATACTCTATATAGGGTGAGTCAAAAATAACGAAACCTAAATGTTGGGACCATTGTTTTAGTGAAATACTGTATGTAACACTTTCAAAATCTAGGATATGTGAGCCCCATTCATAATCTTTCTTTTAGTACAAGAATCATGCAATTCACTTATAAACTTTTCAAGTTTTAATACGGAATTTTAAACACAACCACCGTTTCAAGGTTCTGTCCACGTATCACACAAAATGTTCATTGTTCTTTCAGCAAAACGAAAACAAATCACATAGGGATGTGTGTTAATTGTTTTCGTTTGATGAAAGAACGCACAGCTTTTTTTGTGATCCGTGAACAGAACTTTAAAAAGCTTATGAATTGGGCGTTCATGTCCTAGATGATGAAAGTTTTACATGCGGGACTTTAATGAAACAATATTCCCGACATTTGGGTTTCGGGTTTTTTTTTTTTACTCACCCTGTATACTCTATTTTCCACAAAAAGATTGATCATACTGACTCGTCACGTATATGCTAACGTTTCTTTTCTGTTACAATTTAATTCCGCTTTGTAGTTTTCGATGTTTGTGTTTTATTATAGCTTTTCCCGGCCAATTTCCTAAAATGTTCATTCACTTCTGAAAATCGGTCATTAATTTTCGTCTGAATTTGAATGCACGTCTTTAATCCCATTTCAATTCAACGAAAGTTCAATCGTTTTCATTGTCCGTGCATTCGGTTTTGAGAAACAGACGGCCAATCACACTACCTGTGCATTCACTTATGCAAGCACACCTTTTCGTGCAGAGTTCTGACATACAATTTCGTGAATGTGCAATCAAAAGTACGTTTTTCTCATTCAAAATAACAGACTGCGTCACATAACATTAAACTAAAAGTGAAATAGAATGACCAATTTTGAAATCGCCCTCTAAAAGCGAAAAGGAAGTCTTGTAAACGGATCTGAATGAGCATAAAACGAAATGTGTTGCTCAATCACTTAATTGATTGGACTAAAATGGAATCGAATGCTCTGATAGCGAAAATGAAACGCGTGTTCAGAGCGATTCCCAAATTCAGACGAAAACGAATGACCGATTTTCAGAAGTGAATGAACACTTTAGGAAATTGGCCGGGAAAACTTACATTATTATAATGTTTTTAAAAGTTAAAAAGAGATATGACTGCCTGATCTTCATTACTGCCTTTCTCTATATTGGGCAGCAGAAGTATAAACATTATGGACAAAAAGACATTCGAATTATCAATAAAAATAAACAAATAAAGATCACTACAAACTTCAACAAAAACGATTGGAACAAAATATGTCAACTGTTCAGTCTGCGTACTTATAACCAAATACATATAATTTGTTTTCTGCATACATCTCGGGACAAAAAAAAAAATAATGCGAGAAGGCATTCATTAAACTTATGACGTTATGCATTTGTCACCAAAACCGATAGGCTGTACAAAAAGCTAAGAAACATGTACACGAAAGTCAAGTAATAATTGTTCCGCCGATAATCTGCAACGTAAAAGTTCATGAAGTATTTGTTTTCAGAACATATTTTGAGCAACTTTCTACTCCTCTTACATGTATACAAGATAATTGACATTCCATTTAGGTTAATTTTACAGAAAAGTCCACTTCTGGCACGTAGAATCGGGGTAATGTTTCAACAAAATTGTAGCTGTGTAATTTCTTTCTCAGAAAAAAATGGTCAAGCAAATCATTAAGAATCCGTGCACCATCTTGAAAAAAATCTAACATCTTGGGGGAGGGGGGGAACAAACGAACAAACCAACAAACAAACACGCGTCGAGAAAATTTTTTATTTTCTAAACCCAAGTTGAAATCGGATGCGCCGCCTGTCTCGGCTAGCTATAGATAATGTTGCAATTATTGAATGTTGTGGTCACGTGATGCCACATTTCAGCAAACAAACTTTCTTCAGCACTGCGCAGACATCTGTTGTAATCTACACGGTCTACAAGTGTTGACACAAACCATTTTATATTTGGCCAGAATTATTAATGACTATTATTGTTTGGCCTGGAGGGCGGTATGAAGTCACAGGCGATGAACGTGGTCTACAGCTGAACATGAAACATTGCCCCGATTCTAAGTGCCAGAAAATCGCTTTCCGCGTCTCTCCGTCCGCGTCCATTAAATCATATTCCCCCATGATGTACTTGCTGTTGAGATTGCAATCGGAAAAAATGCCGCGCCAGTCCGGACATTCGAAGTTCCGAAGACACTCTCCCTTGTTCACATCCCAGAATTTCACCGTGAACCCAGCTGCGCTGACGGCCTTATCGTCCGACAAATTGAGACCACTGATGTCTTGATCGTGGCCCGTCAAAGTGTGACGTAATGTCCCGTCGACACTGCTCCACACACAAAATGTGGTGCATGCATTCAAGTCCCACCCGCGTGGAAGGCCGATCATGGTTTCACCGTCTATTCGATACAATCCTGCATCTTGATTGTTGCTGCGTGCATGCGGGAACATGGTCAACCAACGTCCTCTCCTGCAGTCGAAGGTCGCGACCCAACAAGTTCCTAAACTATTTGGACAAAGTAAGTAATCGCGGGACCTTTTAACTGCGATAGCCAAACCTATCCCTTTTGACACGCAGAATCTTTTAACGTGCCAAGTTTGGTTCACGAAGCTGTCCTGAATAAGCCTCCGATCAGTTTCGAACTGGAGGCCAAACTTCGGGTTGGAGTAGCGCCATAATTCATTCAAATCATCCTCAGGAGCAACCTCCCATATGCAAATTTCGCCGGAATAATATTTGCATCCGACCAAATAATGCCCGTCGTGTACGAGATATTCAGCGCGCCTCACATATCTGTGTTTGCAGACCTGAAACTGATTTACCGGGATCAGTCTGGGTATCTTATGAAAACTACCCTGGGCCCAATTGGTCTCCAAGTACATGAACTTCAAAAAGATCACCTTCCACTCGCAGATTGGGGCCAGTTCCTCGCATCTATTTTCTATCAAAAGACTGCTGTACATGTCATCTAAGAAACCTTTGCTCACCTCCAGGTCAAATGTTTCCCCGCAAAACTCGCAACCACGAGCTTTGCCGAGAGGTCGCCACAGATAGTCCCGATTAGTCCTCTCCCTCCAACCCCTGCTGCACATAGCCAAGTGACATAGGTCAGCCGGTGACAGGTAGGACAGAATAATGTCCGTCAACTCTTCGGGAAGATTCAGAAATATGTCGCTGAAACTTGAACCGAAACATGCTCCCATAATTGATCCAGTCGGTTTCGAAATGGCGTGCACGATATTACCGGCCGACAGTTTCACCTACACAGCCTGGGGACAGAGTGGGTGATGAATTCGATTAGATAGTCATGTAACATCAATATCGAGTTGTTACAGTGGCGCTCAATGTGTTGCATCCCATAACGAATGTCTTTTCTGAATGTATGGGTTAAGGTTGAGTCTTGTGCATAGAGATTCGGATTCCTGAATCCCGTACACGCACCGTAACTTCACTCCATGATATAACTAATGTCTCTACACAGTATAATGCAAACACTGTACTGTACCTGTAGTATATAAATGCCTGCTCGCGATCAGGGAACAAGTACAGAAAGGTATACACAAAGAGTGCAGCAGCCCTTTAAAAATGCCTGGGCCAGGAGCGCGTGACACTGACGAAAATTCACGTGAGGGTGGCGTCATTGTTTGGAAAATCGCCGAATAAAAACCTTAAAATTTCCGGGTTCAACTTGGGTTCGTAGGCCCAACAAAATATAATTTTAAACTTGTGACATGTGGCTGCTTTACAATGCTGCTATGAACACTGTGTCGACTGAAATCGTATATGAATACCTTTTCCAGTTCTCCCATGACAAAAACTCCTGAATGGAAATAACAGTGTGAGGAGCAGGTCTTCACAGACCGTGTTGGGGGATGACTATTAATGGATCATTACTCGGACACTCTCGATAGAAGTGACATTTAATTGAATGTACACGAACCATCGGTACCGATGGTTCGTGTACAAACCAGAATGAGCCAATAAGACAGCGCCGATTGTTTGTGCAATGACAGATACAACCAATGAGAGAGCATACAATCACTGGTGGTCATCGGCCCAGTGACCTTGCCTAGCTCAGCTATCAGTGAGATTTACGTAACGTTGCGTAACAAAGTGTATGTGGGGAAACTGTGGTCAGGGCCCTGGCCCTGCACAAGGCCATGCATGTGCATGCTATCTTAATATGTTAATGTAACGTACACTTTGTACAGTTGAAACCTTATATTAATTGCTTCTATTTCCAGACATTAAGGTTTGCTGCATGCACTATAATATATTACTTGGACATGGTTGTATAGCAAGGACC